ATATTTACAATAAGCACAATTCTAATAAAATCAAATGTAATATTCATAGGTATTTTTGACTGGCCATTTTTAAGTGCTGAATCCCGTGTGTGATATTTTTGTATCATATCAAACCAATTAAATCCACATACATTTTTTTTTTTTAATTAAAAGTAATAGGAAATAATGATCGTTTTATATTGTCGTTAATGATTCACTAGAAAATAAATCCTTATAATTTTGGCTGTTTCTCCTCTAATATTTATTTGATGGGCTTATGAATAGAACATTCCACAGCAGTGTTGTGAATTTTATTGTAAATTGATATTAAACTATTTTATTACCAATTAATTTATTAGCGAACAAGAGTATAGTTTAATTTTCAATAAATGGAACATTTAGTAGCAAATATAAAAATATTAGTTATTTATTTAATACCCTATCATATGTTTAATTCTACATATTTTTAGTCCACAGAAAATGCATGACATCTATTATATTATACAAATAAATAAAATAAACTAATGAAAAAAAAGTATGGCGTTGATAAAATAACCAACAAAGTGAACATTTTTAAATTGACGATATAATTATTTTAATTCATTGACTTTATAGTGCTTTAGTTATGTATAATATGCTATGATAGAAATATGACAAGTTTGATAATAATTTAAATAATTTTTTAATTAATGTATACATCATCAACCATATTATATTGAGTAAAGAATATTAATTAAATATAATTAGTTGAATCTGGGATAATATTATCAGATTTGTGTAAAAACCCTCATTAAAGTACAACAAATGTATAATGCTATAATATATTCAATACTGGTGACATAAGTCATAACTAATTTTCTAATAAGTTTCTATCGAGTATCAATGTATCTAATTCGGGCAATACTTTGGAACTCTAAGAGGCTTAGTCAGTTGGGAAATTAATTACTATATATCTTTTGAAATACATCATGAACCATACGTCTTTTGTAATTGCATTCATCCATCTGCGTAGTGTATATTTAAGTCTTAAGACATTCGTGTTTCTTAATAAATAAATGAGTAAATTAATTGATACTTACATAATGTGTATACCTATAGCCGCCTAGGTATACACATCTATACACTGCATTTATTATTCACATTATCGATTTTAAACGTTTATTTCTATTGCACTCGTTAAAATCGAAATTGTTTGCAAAACACATATTTACGTTTTACTAAACATAATATTTGAAACCGTATTAGTTATACTTCTAATCTAAAAAGTGATCGTGAGTAAAAACGCATCACAGCTAGTTGAATTGGTGCAGTGTACACACTGCTGCAGGGAACCAATAATACATTCGTTTCACCCGAGGGTCCTATATGCTCAAAATTCGAAGGATATGCACTGTACATTATATACGTAATATAACATCGTATATGCGAACGCCATTTAAACCCATTCGTGTAATATCATTGCGTAGAGAATACAGACAAATAGATATACCCAATGGTAATAAATGTGTAATATATATTATGTTCTTTGACATTTGTTTACCTACAGTGTTTCAAGAATACGACTCTATGGAATCCTAAACGACAGTGACTGTTGTTCAATTATTCTTTAAGGCACCGAAAACAGATACCATCGAAAAAAAATGCAACAAACAATACCTTCCGATCACGTAAGAAATTAGGCGTGATTATTACACTAATAATATTCAACTTGGCTGTAAAATATATATGTAATAAAATGACCAATAACATTTTATTACCGGTACCGTGTAATATAATAATGTAGTAGACAGTAGTCTTATATAAATAATGGAACTTGCAGAATTTCCAAAGTATATCGGCTATTTTTTTATTATTATTCAGCGGCCACTTAGCTAATTAGATAATATTATTTTACAGCTTAGCATTCGGTACAATAGGCATTAAATTTGCTACACCGTTTCCGATCTAATATTTTTTTCTGCGTATAAGTTCATTAGGTATAAGCTTTACGTTTTACGAATAATACACAAGTCTGATTTCCTCTGTATTATACTCAATTAAATAAGGATTCGATTTGAATCTGGATACTTATAGACAAATATACACATAACAATAATAATAGCAATTACATTTTTTAGGGTTTGTAAACTTGATTAATGGGTTTTGAATTTTGATAGTTATCAAAAATATTATTACGACCAAACTTTATTTAAAATAACAACAGTTTTAATAGCAAAACAAAATACTTGAAAAAAAGTCAGATTATGCCTGGAGGTGAATATTAGTGTGACATCAATGTTAGGATCAAAATAATAATAAGATGTAGATAAAAAGTTTAAGTCGATTAATTGCAAAATCAATTCAAAATATCTACAATTTTACATAACACTATAAAAAACGAAATAATATTGTATTGAAGTATTGACGTTGTTCAACTATATCGTCATATTGCTCGTTAGCGTATACGATAAAAACGTTCTCGCTGTCCCCTAGGGCCTATGTAGCTACTACGACACTACTGCAGTGATCGGCAGACAACAGTGAATGTTTATAATCTTGTTCTCGAAATATGAGAATTTTGCACGCGATAAGTATTATTTGTATAATACTAATACGTATTATGGCAGTTAATATTATAATAATTATGTGTTTCAATAAAATAACATAATTTGAGGTCCGTTTAATTAAAGTGTAGTACACAATATGTTATCTAATACCTAACGGACTTGTAAATTATTGACTAAAACAAAATATATCTATTACCTATGTACCAAACCAACAATACAACCAGATTTGAATTAATTAAATTTGTAACTTTTTAAGTGCACTTGTAGGCACATAATAAAAATAATATTAATATGTTTTTCTATCATATTTCAATGTTTAACGGTCGCGTATCGTTCGTGGTTTATGATCAGAAAATCATAAAATATTCTGTTGTAAAGCAATATTAACTTTTTTAATGTTATAACACAACAAAGGTAGTAAAGGTACACAACGGAAAATAATTAGACTCGATTATCGGCGGGCAAGTTAGAAACACGATTAATAATCGAAATGTCTACGAGAAAAAAATCAAACGTCGACATGAGGCTGTTTGTGAAGTTTGTACCATAAAAGTGTAATGCAACCAGCCTCGATGGTGGCGGTAAACAGCATAGCAATACATTCAAGTAGTCAGTGTTCATAATAAACTCACAAAAAAAAAGTTTGAATTATACGGAATAATATATATTTAAAAAATATATGTTAATCCCAAAACGCATTCAATTTCAAAATAAGTGTTTAGCCGTTCAGATACAACGTCAAAAACGTGTACGCTGTAGTATCCAAAAATCAAAAACTAAATTTGCGAAAAAATGAAGTTGTTTCATAAACTTTCAATTAATTAATTTAGAAAGTACTTACTGGGAATTATTTTTGACTTCATAAAGTACCAACTAGATACAATTTACCATCAGAAACCACTCTCAAAGTTTAAGATTAATGCAAATTTATGGCTCCTAAAAGTAACACAACATTTACTTCCATATATATAATCATATATTTTCATATAAAATGGCATTAACAATTTAAAAAATATATAAACTCATTGCAATTTATTCAACTGATAAATTATTTGATAGTAACAAATTAATCAACAAAATAGTTGTCTGAAATAAGGTCATAAAAAATATTTTTTTTGGATTACAAATTAATGAAAAAATAAAATATATGTTTATGTAGGCATTTATTAAAATGTATCATTACGCATATTACACACATCTCTAAATTTTGTTTCGTTTAAAACTCGAACATAACTTAAATATTCATACCAATTCCCAATTTTATTTTATTTAGGTACTCGTAGGCCCACTTATCTTTCGTCCATAGAACTACTTTATTTTCAGAGAACCACAATGCAATTTATATTTTATATCATAAATTAGGTACGTTAGATACATAAAAACTCTTGTTTTCTGGCTTGAGTTTTTTGGGACAGGTTCACCTCGCACCTTGCATGGAACGTTAATTTTTCACAGCATATTATTCTTCCCAATTACGATAACATGTGGAAATTTGATTCAGATGGTATGTACTTATGTAATTTATAATACCAGAGAAGAATGTTTTGCGGTAAAGATCAACATAGTGATTCCTCATAAATTCTTTGGATGCTTAGAAGAATTTAATACAGCTATGACAGTATAGATCTCTTGGTGTCAATCCAAAAACGTTTGACAAGTCTGCTCTGCACACCGTTGGGTTAATTATTATGAAAGTTTAGCGTTCGGGTCACCCAGCTATGATATTCTGATGATTATTTAAAAATTATATTGGTATTAAGCAAATGAACATAGTAATGTTTTGTAAATGAAGAGACCACTGGTGAAATTCATATTTTGATGGACAGCGAGAGGACGGTAATAATATACATTTTTCTTAAATCATGGTTAATAATTAATAACTAGTATGGACTATGGAGGTGGCTATGGTGCCGTGGTGCCTGTAAGGGTTGTGATCGTTCCTATTGCCGTCGCTTTATTTTTCGTTTGTTTTCCCTCCGTAAAGAACTTTTACTTTTATGTATTTTATGTATATGCCATCTGAACCAAATTTCCACATGGTACGGTAATTGGAAAGGATAATATTCTGTGAAAAATTAAAGTTCCATTCTCGATACACTTGTTTCAAAAAACTTAAGCCCGATAACAATAAGAAGTGATTTATGTATCTAACGTAATTTATAATTTCAAATATCAATTTCCTTGTTGCTCTCTGAAAAATAGAATATTATGTGGACAAAAGATTCGTGAATCCACAAATAGATATTTTTATTTTATAATTCGTTAAATTGGGGATTGGTATATTTAAGTAATATTCGCGTTTAAATAAAATATAATTTAGAGTTGCGTCTAATATTTACGTAACTGTACATTTTAATAAATACCTAAATATATTTATGTATGTTTTACATTTTATTTTCAATATTTTATTTTTTATACTTGTTCATTACTTTGTAATCCAAAAAAAAAAATTATGACATAACCCTAGACAACTCTTTTATTGATTAATTTGTTAGTACCAAATAATTTATCAACCGAATAAATTGCATCGACCACTGAATTTTATTTTATATTTAGTTCCCGGTGCCCAATAAAAGGTCACGGTTTACTCCCACATAACGCCGTGCATCTCGTTCAGTCTTTCGGGCGACCATCTGTAACCGCATTTCGGCCAGATTCTTCTGCATTCTCGCCATCCGCTGATTGTAACCGGTCGTTAGCGCAGCTGGCCCCACCGCATAGACCACCGACGAGTCGGCGGGATTGTCGCTGTCTACCGGAACCGCGGTGGCTGGTTTACACTTTTCCGGAACAACTTTTACAAACAGTCCCGTGTCGGCATTCGGGTTTTTCACATGATCAACCGTCACTATCCAAACAATTGAGTGACAAAAGTACTATGTTAATACTACAACAATATAATATGATGCGCATACACGAATATTGGGCTATACTTTGTCAACAAACGTATCATAACACGACAACACTGTAGTGACTGACACAACATTTTACCTAACAATTTAGGTATATAGGCTAAATATTATACTCGTATACTCGTACTAAAGTAGGACGAGTGGAATGTTTTATAATATACTTACGTAGTCTGTAACAAGCTAAATCAATTATGTAATATAAAATTAAAAATATCAAGTTCAGTTCACCATTTACACAATAATAGCAAATAATAATTTAAAAATATTAAAAATACATTAGCACTAATTTTTTTTTTATAGAAATTTGAAGTAGTTACAGATTTTGGTAAGATTGGTAAACGCTATAATTTTGACAAAAATATACCGTATTACTAATGAAAAAATGTATTACTTTAGTAGTAATTTAAATAATATATACTTAGTAAATAATAATACAAGCTGACTGGCCGTCTACGCTCAAAGTCATTTATCGTACGGAATGATTAATCAATGAATTCAAATTTGACACATCCATTAGTGTGACGTACTCAATGACACTTGACACCTAAACTATACATCAAGCGTGTTCCCATTTTTTTGTTTTGTTCTTTTAAAGTTCTTTCCGGACTTACCGGAGAGATTAATTAATTATTTTTACTAAATTGCTCATTATATTATTTTTTCAGTGTTTGGGGGCTTGTAAAAAGAAGTTAACATTCTCATTAGCCATTTGATACAATAGAATTGCATTTAAAATATTTTCATATGGTCATAGTTCTGCCATATACTTAAATAATTCAAATGTTGAACAAATTATACTGTATGTCCGCATGTACTTACAACAATCAGTATTAAAATTTTGCTAGGAAAAGCATTAAAATATTTTACATTTATGTACCTTTCACAATGTCACTTAGGAGAACAGGGACTAAGTTGGCAATAACGCTCGTCGACGGATTCAGTCCAGGAGTGGAATTAATCTCGATCAAATACGGAATAAAGTTTTCGGTGATCAAGAAATCGGCTCCGAACAATTGAAAAGTTTTGTCGCGGTAAGCCGTAGTGTCCGTAGCGGCCTGCAATACAGCGTAAATACTTTCGCACATTCCGGGAAATATCAATTCATCCCATACGTATTCTTGTCCAATTTTTCTAAAACATAAAATCATAAGTTTGGCTACAAGGGAATACTAACAGAATTATAATTTATATTATATGACATATTTTATTTTGGCACAGAAGAATAGTTATAATACTATTTATTATTATTGAGATAAGTATTTTCATAAATTTTATGACTTATGAAATAAAATGCAGCTAAAAACTCTTAGAAATGTACAATTCAGCGTTTCAATTTAGCTAAGTACATAAATAAGGAAAAAAATGTAATTTTTGAAATAATTCACTATCTAAATAACTATGTATCTACAACGAAACCCACATTGTTCAAAACGTGTTAATCATAAAAAAATCTGCAATTACTTTTAATTACTTTTTTACAAAAATATTGAGTAGATATAATTAGTACAAGTGGATAGGAGAAAAAAATGTTATTTTACGAACATGCTTATCATAAGTAATATAAAAAAAATGTCAAGAAGAGCATTCAATTTAGAAAAAATGTAAAATAAAAACATCACATTACTCTGAGTCATTATACAATGCAACAATTTTTTAGTTTGGTAAACATTGTATAAAATGTATTGAAGAAAAAAATATAAAAGTAATAAACATCGGAAAAATCTTATCTCTATAATAGATATTATTAAGGTACCTCGCCATTACTAAATTCTAAGGGACATGTTATAGGCAACTTCAAATGCATTTGACTACGAGTATAGCGTGAGTATACGGGTGTCGTAAAAGTATGTGGGATTATTTTATGGATATTTTTAAAATTATTTTTAGTTGAATAAATATTTTAGCATAACATTTTTTAGCTATATCTATTATTTATTACAATAATTCAGAATTCCGTAATAAAAAATATGTCTCAATCAATTTTTCGAATATGTTATAATGTGGAGAGTTGGGATATTTTTTCCGAACGAAAATCTGGATAAATATTCCAACGTACTGTTAGAATTATTAAAATGAGTGATTTTTGACTAAAATTGAGGTGGTTTTGATGGCTCTTTAATCTGTGCGGTATGGTGTCTTATCCGAGTTATACCTCAAATGGTCTTGTAGTTCACTGTAATTCCACATGCATTCTTCGGGCACTTGTGGATTCCTAATTTTTCGATATTTCGTTTGCAGTCTGACATTGCTGAGGTGAATGGATTCGTCCATTTTTTTCATGGAGAAGCTGTTGGCACAAAATCGAACGTAACCTTCTCTGTAAAAAAAATTGTTTATTTCACCATTTTTTATAATAATTGATGCGACGATGCGTATGTATTGTTCTTATTATGTTCTAACTATTACAGACGGTAATTGTATAATACTGTATATTTATATACCACTCGGATACTTTCAAAACACCATAGAACACTCGTACTCTAACTTTGTATACTAACTTGTACATCCACACAACTACTGGACTCATATTGGTCACTAAAAACCATTGTCGCAAATCAATCTTACATGTATACACCAAGAGGGGTCTTTCTAAAAATTATTTAAGTCGTTTTACGTCATTATTTTGAAATATCATGTATTGTTTTCACCTATATATTTTTGTAAGATATAACTTTTTCTAAAGACATCGGCTACAGTGATTTTTTGTTTTATAGCGTGCAAGTCTCTAGACAATATAATTCCGTGACCAGAACAGTTTGACGTGGGTTTTATTATCCATGTATTGGTAATCCCATCTATGTAGTGTTGTGGACAATATGTTTTCACTTCTCCGAGTAAGTATTTACATTTGGCGTAAACATCTAGCTATAGCATTCACAATATTATAATTATTACTACAACGTCCAAAACCACGACACCACAGGCAATAATCGGTGGGGATAGTACGACACTACGATGTATATCTGCTAATTTGTTTTACACAGTAGTTACACATAGGCAAATGCTGATCAGTAACAATATATCGGTGTATAGGTTTCGGGAAACTGGAAATTATCGCTTAAGTGATGTGGTGATGTAAGATAGTGTGGTTAAGTGTACCCAAACTGGGTGTATTGAGAATGACTTAAACATTTCGTTTTTAGTAGAAAACCTATGTGTTATATGAGTTTTATATCTACATTTTGACATACATTTTGTTGTTGTTTTAATACAAAGAATAATTTGAAATATAATAAATAATAATGAAATATTAATCACAGTGCCCCCCCCTCCGACCTCTGCGTTTTTGAATGTATCTCGATTATTTTGGATCCCAAGGCCCGGGAGATGTAGAGTCGTTCTATAGAGTCACAGCTGGGACACAAAAAGCTTTCAAGTACATTTTTTTTATTTTACTTCAATCTTTAATTTACTTCTAATTCATATATATACTCGTGGTCAAATTTGGCGTTGCTATCAATAATCAGTTTTGAGTAATAAATCATAAATTCGTTCCATATTTTTTTTTGATTCTTAAACTTCCACATATCTGTTTCTGTATTGCCGGTTTTTTGCTTATTTAGAAATTTAAATACACACAATTTCACAAAATCAATTACTGTATATGGTATCTGGTGAAGAAAGCAATGGTATTATTTTTGAACATAACTGCAGTTAATATTATATATTTTAAACTTACATTGCCGTTTGCTGTGAAAATCATCTTATTATTCTCAATAGCTTGAACTATTATCTTCAGCGTGCTTACTAATGCTGTTGTTATGTAATCTTCCACAAATGCTTCACTGTCTGCTTCGCATCGAATATAATGACATCTTGGAATCATCAAATTTGTCACGGAATTTTTGTAATATTCCAAACATTGTGCCAAACCATCCTGTATTTCAAAATAAATAGTTTAACCTTATTTCTTGGTATACCTATAATTAATCAGTTTGGAAATTCATAAAAACAATAGTCCATGGAGTTATATTATATTCATGTGTATACTTAATTGGCTATAAATTTAAAATACTCCTATAATTTTTGTTTTAAAGGTAATTAAATTGATAGTACATTTATGTGTTTAAAAAAACCGGAATTGGAACAAAATTGGATGTTCAAACAAATACAATGATTTTAGTTATTTTGTTATAATATTTCGTCAAAACTTGAAACTTTTCGCGACTATACGTAAATTATATATTATATAGGCCATAGGGTGGTGATCCATCAAGTATGATTATTCCCATTTTTTACTTTAATAATGAATTTATTCGAATTCTGATTGTTTTAAATTTTAAATATACTCAAAGAACGGTTTCTCAAATTCTTGAATTTGTTTGTACCTACTACTTAAAAAGTGCACTGTGGCGATAAAAACTTTTGTTTTTCAAATGAATCTCCCCATACCTTTGTACTGTACATTATTTATTAATTAAATACGAATTAATATAGATGACCTTAAAATTATTTAACAATAATAAAACTAAATATTTTAAAACTAACTTTAAATAGGTACAATATAAGTAGGTAGGTTGGTTACTTTGGTACAAAATACGTGTCTTGGCATCTGGCTGATGGATGTCAATTTACTCAAAGTGGACCAATTAATTAACTGTTTTCTAGTAACGAAAATAAAATCAGATTTTTTATTTTTAAGAATAGTCCACGATTGCAAGCTTTTCAGGCGCTCCATGGCGGCATAATTTTTATTAATTATTGATGAAATCAGCGGAGGTGATTCAATCCAATTAACAGTGTATGCTTAACATTTTTAAATATAATAAATTGTTCATAATAAATAAATAAGTAGAATAAGGCGTATTAAATTGTTTTTTACACGTGAATGTTGCTAAAATATTTACGTGCTGATTTTAAGTAATGCAAATAATTTATTGGTGGTCTGCTTGGATCTCGTTTTTCCACCCAACCACGATTTTTCAGCTCTAGAGAAATTATTGGAAAGTATCCTAATACCGAAAATATTTTTTGATCCTGCAAAAGTCAATCAAAATCCAAATGAAAGTTAATAATATTATAATTTTCATATTTCAATGAAATTAAATTTATCAGTAGTATTACATTTTATTTGTATTTTATTATTTTTATTTCCTTGGTTAATCCTATTATCTATTCTAAAGTACCTTTATAGCTTTCAGCGTTCGATTAGTGACACTCGTCAAGGATTCAAAATCTAATGTTAAGTTTAATGAATTCAAATCTAATAAATTATAACTGCACTCTTTTATCAACGCATTATGAAGTTCTTGAATATAGTTTTTAAAATTCAGTTCGTATCTGGTGTTGAGGCTACTCATTTTCGCCCGTTCTTGGATTTGGCATTCATCTTTAAATTCGAGAGTTTGAATAAAATCGTCTTGTTTGTCATTTGTTTTAGTACTGTTTGCAGTTGAATATTTTTTTACCTCGTTGTCAAATTCATTATTCGAAACGGTAGCGATTTTATTCGTTTTTTTAAGTGTATATGATTTATTTTTATCTTTTTGATTTAGAAATGTTTTTTTTTCATACCAGCGCAACAACGTCTTTCTTTGGTAGGCGTTATTGTTAGAATTCATTATGTGTTTTTTCTCCTTTCGGATTGTGTTGGTTATTAATTTGTGTAAATGTTGTAAATAATATAATAATAGTGTGTTGTGTAAAACTAACTAGTAACTGTAATATTCAAGATATGATTTAGATGTTTATATCCATAGTAATGAATACTGATTACTAAAATGTTTAATACCTATACAGTCAGTATCATAATGTTATTATTTTTTTTGGAAAAACGTTGGTATTGATCCATGCAAATAACAATTATCATCTAATAATAAGTTTGCTATAGACAATAATTATTTACATGAATACATTTTTTGACAAATAATAGTGATCATTTTTGCTAAAAACAACAATATTGTAATTCGACAATAAACAATAAAAAATATCCTATTTTTTAAAAAAATGTTGAATAAACCACCTAATTCAAGTATACACTCAAAATTTAGGTATGCACTTTGTATTTTTGTTGTACATTTTATCAAATTTTTTAATTAAATAGCTATATAATTCAATGATACAGATTCTCCATGAATTAATATATATAGGGCCATTGGGGCGGTAAGTTACACAGTATCGGGGAAAATGCAATAATTAAAAAATCAATAAATTTTATCAATATTAGTCTGAACCGTTGTTAAAGAACAATATGACTGTAGGAAGTTTATAATATAAATAACATATCATGTGTGAAATTATATATATATTTTAGGAAGAGCTGAGATTTGTTATTATTAAAACTGTAGTATGTTTTATAAATTAAATTATTTATTAAAAGTTCAATAAATTAAAAATTATATGCACTTTCTGATAACGAAAAAATATAATTTTTTTTCTTATAATTGTATAACATGGGTAATTTGGGTACCGTTTTATATGTACCTACGTGGCTACGTACAACATTTAAATAAGATCGATAAATTATAAACATGTCAAGAAGCATTGAACTACTAACTAGTAACAATTATACTTTAATATTTTAGAATTAGAAACTACTAGACTAGAATACTTTAATTAAAATATATAGTGCTACACTGAAGGGGGTGGGGTGAAGTCACGATATACCTGCGACGAAACTCGGTAATATATTCACCAAGGTACGCCGAAGAGTTTGAATTATTGTTCATTAACAAAAACATTAAGGTAAGTGGTGAATATTTTATTCTAATTTTGATTATATAAAATCATAACACTGGTATTCTAATGTAATTTAGTTCATTTGTGTAATGTGTTCTATGAAACGTTTTTTTCACATTAAATTCGGTTCTAAAGATAATGTATATCTTGTTCGTAGTAATTAAAATATATTTCACTCAACTATTTTAATAGCCAGCTTGTAAGAAACACAATAAATAATAATAAAGAATAGAATAAATCAATATCCCAAAATAAATACCGTAGATACTTACAATGAGTCCTCCGTGGAAAAATACTTACTCGGGAAGTATGAATAAATAATATATTTCATGATTTGTGGATTACGAGTGTAAATACTAAATTCATAATTTGTTGAGCATTGATGATTCGTGTCAACTATAAGCAAATAAAAAATACTATTTTACTAGCAATATCAATATTGAATACATTCAGTATTTATGTATCATCGTCATGAGTGCAGTACGTACCTATGGGTGATTATTGAATTGGAAACTTGTAAAATGCAATAGATAATAATAATATAATACATTTCAAAAGTAGGTACAATGGTCAATGAATAAGTTATATCTATTGTCCAACTATATAATAGTGAAATTTACTTTATTTTTAACACCTAATCACAGAAACTCCGCCATCGATTATCTTGATTATTTGTTTTAAATTATAGATTAGGTATATCACGGAGAAGGTTTCGAGCCTATTTTAACCCCTATAGCTGTAGAAAAAGGATAGATCACACATGCATTTTTTTCAGCAAACAATATTCTTTTTGTTTTTTTAAATGGTTGCCATAGGTTACATATCACATTACCTACTATAATCAGTAGAAATATGGCATACACATTTTTTTTTCAAATAAATTTGTTTAAATAACAAATCTTTGACACCAACAACGTCTTGCAGAACAGCTAGTACCTGCAGTATAGGATTTAAATGTGAAATATAAATTATAATATGAAATTGTTTGTTAATAAGTTTAAATTAAATATTTAATGTTACACCAACACAGTGTACACTAATAATATATTAATATGTCTACGTCATTATATGTCATTACACGTGATATGAATATAATCCATAAAAGCATTTAAAACTGAATCAATTTGTCCTGTGAAATGTGAACTCCGTCACTCAACTCTCGGGTGAGTAATCCTCCTCACGTCTTGAAAAAAAACATATATAACCAAAAGAGATTTACATATTGTACCAGAATACCTACCAAACTGAGAATAAATTCATATGAAACTTTTGGTGAGTTATACTGTAGGTAACGTGAATAATCTTTCTGCAGTCGACCATCTATTTTAAAGATCTTTGTACGTGAATGGGAACCGAAAATATAATAAATGTTCATCGTTTAAAGACGATAGTAGGAAACTATAGAAGAAACCTTTGACGTTGGTTTTACGGTCTGTTCGCTAATTTGTCGTTATTGTTTTAGTTGGTACAAAGTTAGAAAACCTTTTGTTTAACATAACCATGGCTCGCGGTACAAAACAAAATATTAAAACGTTCCAAAATTACATGAAACAAGAGGAATATCTGCTACCTAGTGGCATTTACATTGTTATCCTATGTAAAACAAACTACTATCCTATATGCTTGGACTATTGAATTATTGCGGTTTTTCAATTAAGTTTGCAATGTTTGGAGCGTGCAAAATAGTTAATTCTGTTATCTATATGTGCAGCTAAATAATCAAATTAAATTAATTTATTCATTCCGAGCTAGTTTTACAAGCGTGTTTATTTTGGTTGTATATATTTGAATTATTGTGTGTACCTACATTGTGGATAGACCATAAAGAGGAATAGTTCAAATCAAAGTAGTTATCCTAAAAACGGTCACGAAACATTTAATTTTTTTCAAATTTTCGTACACGCTAAACATAAAGTTCTAACTGTATTACTTAAGTCAATTGCCTTTGAAATGTATTTAATTTATACATACATCTCTATAGCTATTTTTGTCAATAGAGCATTCAAAATAAAATAAATAATTACTAATGCCATAGGTAAACATTTCAATATTTACGATTTCGATATTTTGTTTAACATAATATTTTATATCTGTCATTACAAATATAATATAATGAAATTGCTCACACGTAGTTTTTAGTGTTTCTTATGTACATCTGCGCATCTATACCTTATACAGTTGTACTTATTATAATATGTATTCTATGGAATATAATACTCCAGGTCAGTATGGTTTAAGAAAAATTAAAAATACAAAAAGTAGTTAAAAGTACTTCTATATTGTATACCTACTAGACTTTTAGATTTATTTATTTTTGAAAGAAATCATAAATATAATTGATGGTCAATGAAAAATAATACTTTAATGAGTCTAGACATTTTTTTTCTTAAAATATTTTATCCATCTTTTAAAAAAGGATTAATAACAATGATATTAATATTAGCTCTTAATTACCATAAAATAAATTTAATTAATTCACTCAATCACTTTTAAATAATTAATATAACATTTTAAACGTGATTTGAAAAAAAACTCAAAATTACTCATGTAGTCGTGTTTAATTAGGTACTTACCCATTAATTTGTTGTTGGTACTGTAATATTCAAGTATTTTATCGTACGTTCGATGATAAATGTGTAATAAAAATCGACCAATTAATCGACGGAGTTGGTATAGGTACTGATAACTAGAAAATAATTCTATGTGTGTTCTTATTGTTAATTGAGATATTAAAATATTTATTCCGACTGCGGTTTACAATGTCATAAACATCTTCGAATAGGTGTGATCAATATTTTTAAAAATAAATAAATCACTTTAAATCACTTAAAGTCCTATTATACTGCAGTTCAGTACTGCAGTGTCCTTAGACTTTAACATTTTTCATTTTAATTAACGATATGGTAGGTTAGGTTAGGTATAAAAGGTTACAAAATATAACATAATATAGGTAGTATACCTGTATTGCTCCGATAAATATGTTATTATTGTGTGAACAAAAATTGATGGGAAAAGGTGTTCAAATTTAAAGGCAGCTACCTATGTTACATAATATTATTCCACGATTTGCAAACCGTGAGATGTACCATAATATTATAATATCTAATCTACGTCTATTTCATGACTGAAATAGCAAACACCGATGGATGGTAAAGCTAGGCTGGCCATGACTGGATTATATGGATTTTCGTGCGTATAAATACGATAGCGTGGTTCTTAAATCCTACTTCATAAAAGCAACGTCTCATTATTTCGTCCGTCGCCAACCTACACTCACTTCTAATCGTGCCGAGTTACACGACTCCCGATAAACGCACCGTCCGGCCCTTGAATTTATATAACTTCACATTTTGATAATAATTGAAATATTCAAAGTGTTCTTGCTATACTTGGTACTATGGCCACGCTGATTGATCATACACATTGCACAATAACAATACAGACTGTGGGAATGTGGCTAAAATTGTTGGGGACAAAATAATACAGTCGAATACAATGGGAATTGGGGACGGCGTAGATGCGATTTTACCTTTCAATAACAATACGAGCACCGGTAACTTCAATACGATTGTTTTCTCTGTGGGTACTATCATAGACTACATTACAACAATAACTGAAACAATATACATTCATGGAACAATAGGTTCGTAAAGTTTTTTTTCAATAACACGACGTTCGTTTAGGATGAGTAATCGAAAATCGTTTTGTTGTTTTTTTTTTTTTTATATATTATTATTTATTATTAATGAATTAAAATAATGTAGATATATAGGTACTACTTTGTCAACGATAGTCAACGAATCTTATCAATCTTTAACATTTAATTATTTTATCGTTTTAATTTAATTCCGTTAATACAATGCATCGATTATATTATAATATTATGCTACTTCAAGTATTTTCAAGTGGGATACAATTTTTATTTTCATAAATCTAATTACAAATATTTACAATGTTGACAATTTTTCCAATTTTTGCCTTGGATAAGTTTTTTTTTTGCGAAAATGTACAGATTGATTCAGTATTTTCTTCACTGAGTTTTTGTTTATTGTAGTGATGATAGTTTGCCGAGGATTTTAAGTGGTTCTATGTATTTAGGGAAGTTGATCACTAT